AAATTGCAGTTTATAGAAGCATTTAACAAGCTCGCGGTAAAAAAAAATCAAATGTAACAGACATTGCGAATTACCCAAAATTAATAAAATAAAAACTAACACCATAAAACGAATGGCACGCATAGACTAATAATTGACGGCTGTACTCGCAACTAGTATCGGATTGTCGATGCCACAGTAAAGATCAAAGGACTGTACGCACGCGCTATGTTCGAGAGCGGAGATGTGCGTCCTTTTGTTGAATTACCTTGATATACACATATAAGGCCTATTTTCTGTAATAAGAATAAGGAAAATTCACCTGACCGTTTTTAAGAGGCGAAAACCTTAAATTTTCAAGAACTTAAAAAAGTCATTCAAAGATTTCAGAAGTCAAGAAAGCTCATTTCCCGCCATTTAGAAATCAACATTTCCCGAGGAGAACCCGACCTCCCGCACCCCTTTTCTCTTTGGTTCATTGATTTATGAATCCTTTTCAAGAGGGGAAAGCCTTTAATTTTGAAGAACTTAAAAGTCATTTTAAAGACATTTCAGAAGTCGGGAAAATTCATTTCCGCCATCTGGAATCAAAATTATCTTATCTTCGGCGTTTATCGATTCATGGAAAAAAGAATACGTATGCAACTACATACGGTATTTTTATGTATGTATACACATAGGCCTACAACATGGCCTATTTACTGTAATAATAATGAGAAAGTTCACCTGACCGTTTTCAAGAGGGGGACACTTGAATTTTAAGGAACTAAGTCATTAAAATACACCTAGCTCAAAAGTCAGGAAAGCTCATTTCCCGCCATCTAGAAATTAAAATTCTCCCGGGAGAAGGCCCCGGACCCCTCCCCCTTCCGTTTTGAGGTTTGTGGGTAAATTATTGACCCACTCCCCCCACCCCACCAATTTGAACCCAGATCTCCCTCATTCATATTCCCATTCCCATTCATATCCCCCCACCCAACTTTGAAAAACGTTCCGCCAGCCCTGTATTGCTTTGCAGGCCCTTATTGATGAATGTGAAATTTTGCTAAAGAGCATGATATTTTATATAACATTAAGAAGAGTATGTGTTTGACTTTTTATCCTTCTCCTAATAATTTTATTATTTCACTTTGTGGCAATCAGCTTGACTTTGTTCGCAATATTACTTATCTTGGTCATCTGTTATGTTTATGTGTCTGATATGTTTATTAATTTTGGTATTCCTAGTTTTGGTAAATTTATGCGCAAATCTATTTATAGTTTATGTTGCGTATTAATGTGTCTAATAATCTAATTGTAAAAAATGTGTATTTTGAATATTGTAATTTTATTGATATGCATTGAATCTGCGAAATATAAGTTTATAATTATATCCACTAAGCATTGAAATTATGACACTGTATTACTTTCCCAGCTTGTGGTGGTAAAATAATATATTACCAAGTTTGGATATGGTCAGAGTACAATTATTGAAAGAATTATTATTTTTCCTTTAAGAAGCAGTTATAACTTAAAAGCTGTGGTCATAAGATGAATTTTATAACCATATTATTAACTAAGATTATACTTTCCACGTCGGCGCGTGCACTGAAGACGTATTTTTTATTATTTATTTACTTTTTTAATTGGATCTAACATTTATTTGTATAATGATATTGATAAACACTCAAAATTATCTGTAGTGCTATTAAACATTTTACGAATGGACTTTCTTATATTGTGGTCATATTATACTGTAATATTAACAAAGAAGACCATTCAACAAAGAAAAAAAAAAAAAAAAATTCCAAGTCGGTGCATGCATAAAACGTAATTTCCTAGAATTTGGATATATGAGATTTACATTTAATAAACATTCTCTGTACCCGTCTATGCTAAGCATTTGAAGAGTAGACTTCCTTATGATTTAGACCAAAGGAAATATTAATGTATATGGGTCTGAACTTTGAAGGTGACAAAGTGTTCTTCCTTATGTTGTGGTCATATCAGAATGTAATATCATAAAAGACCATTCAACAAACAACATGAAACACATCATATCAAACTTTTAGGTTAAACTATCCACTTCCGTGCATGCATATAACGTAATTGTTTGGATGATATTTTCATGACAATCGAGAATGTACTGATCATATAAATTGTAGACAATTACTGTTGTCCGATTGTGTGCATTGAAAATGGAACGACGAACGGGCTACGGGCCTCGGTTGACACTTCATATTATCATAGGCCCTGTTAATTAATATTGCACAGGAACCTGTCAGGCTCCTCCTCCTTATCACTATTATCATACACAGTAATCATCTCCATCATCATAATTATTAATTGTCCACAGTAAAATGAGGAAAAACTATGAATTCAGAGTGTATTCATTCATTAATAGACGTCTCATAATGCACGGAAGTGTATTTATAAGCATTTGGGAAACAAAACTTTCCGAAAAAGGACCCTAAGACACCCTCACCCGCGACGGAACAAGCAAACATTACGTTCTCTTCTCATGACCCCGCCCGATAGTCAGGGTATAAAGTCTGGATCCGCGCCTGAGAGATCCCTAAAATTTTCTTCCCTCAGCCCCAACCATAAAGGGGCTGAGGTGGACTCTCACACAGCCCCTACCGCCTAATCCTGCATCCGCACAAGGGATAGCTACGGCACTGTGCTCGTGCAACTATTGCTGGCCATCGAGCAGTCCTCTACTTAGTACTTACTATTTGATTTCTGTTGGGTGTCCATCAGTCGATGACTGATGCTCTTCATCAGATCAGATTGATTCTTGAACCCCGATGACGTCTTCTGGTTCTTCGCATTAACATCACTCGGGATGAGACCACCACCTGCATTTGTCGCAGATGGCATCTCGCTTCCGCGTCTGGAATAGTATGCAGGTAATGAATGATAATAAGGGCAAGATATATTTTCGTGAGTTGAAATATTGATTATATAACATTTAATTTTATATTCGAGCACTGTTATTATTAATCTATCTGTTTAGATTGTGTTTACGGTGCTACACAGCAAAGGTTCCTTTTTCATGTGTATGAAAATAAAAGGGTGTCTCCAGCGCTATATACAGTTATTATGAAGATGAATGGTGTGTTTGTGGGGAGGCCATTTTTGTAGGAACAATTTTTGTCTAATATTCTAACCTGGCTTTAATCAAGCCCATGTCATGCTTGTTAAGTTCTTCGGAAAATTTTTCAGCGTCCATGATCATTTTGCGTGTTGTTTCATGTTCACGAACTTCGTCGAATAAGTCATTGCGGATGTTCTGGAAGTTGTTTACTAAAAAAACAAAAAACATGAAGGACACATCAGATACCGTATACAGTAGGGCCTATTAGGAATATAAAACACACGCATCAAGCTTTTCAGACTATCAAATTTTATTTGACAAAAACATGTGACATACCTAAATATGGTCATGATGACATCATATTATGACCATATATAGGAACATGACTATATATGGGCATACCACAGTTTTGATAGTGTGAACAGACCTTAACGTGTGTATTCTTTTGAGTAATAGGCCTATAATAATTTCGTGCGTATGCTTACCCATAATGCCGACGAAGATGTTGCGAAAGATGAAAGAACCGATGCAGATCCACAGGATGATGTAGAAGGTCGTAAATAATTTGTCAGACACCTTCCAGATGTCAGTAAGTACCTTGTGCCACTGATCAAGAGTGAACAACTGAAAGAGCGTAATCAGAGCGCGTCCCAGATTACTGTAGGCGAAAAGATTTGTCGATCATGAATGAAATGCCCATTGCAATCGTCACGAAAGCTTTTAATATTATTAATATAATATCATAACAATTAGGATGGCAGATAAGAGCACTATATCCTACCTGAAACTATTCTTGTATATAAGATCTTCGCGATCTGATCGTGAATAATTGTCGAAAAAGATCACGCCGGCGATGGCAAAAATGTAGGCGAACGTGAACAGAAGAAGCATGATAAACGTCATTGCCTAAAATAAAGCAATTATCCTACCAGATATCACACAGTGGCACATGCAATGAAAAGTGAAATATATATATATACTGTCTCTTATACACATCTAGATGTGTATAAGAGACAGGTGTTACATAGGCAAATCTATATAGGCTATCAATCAAATTAACAAACGAGGTGGTCGCAATTTATTTGATTATTACTGTCTATAGTTAAACTTATCATAAACCTTACTTAAAATATTCTACTCAAACTCCATTCTGTACCACTTGAGAAAACGTTCATCAATTTTAATAAATTGCGGCAAATTAACCGCATCGTTTGTTATTTGATTGAACATATATACTTTATACATATACACATATTGTATACAACTCTTAACTTACATTAAAAGCTTTGGTAATTGCTAAAGCGATGAGGCGAACCTGTCTAAAGCGAGAGACCATCTTCAGAGAACGTAGAATACGGAACACACGTAAGTTATTGACGATCACGCGCACCTCTTTTAGATCGCCGGCTGTGAATGCGATCAATTCGGGAACAAACGACTGCACATAAAAAAAAAAAAAAACACATACACACAGGAAAAGCAAAACACATCAGAGTATTCATGTAGCATTTTCATAACTTGACTATAGTTAAGTTTAGAGCCCGTTCACTAACTCTCTTTTAACTTTTGGTTAAAAATTTATATAGGCCTACTAACTTTCTGCGCTTTTCGGCATACACCGTCGGTCACTGTCAGTAAATTATTTGATTTGAACGGTGCGTTTATAAACAGTTTTGACATTTGTTCGTTTTCAGTTACTGTAAGCGTTCCACTAACCAAGCCCGTATGATTTTTAAAGGGGGGGGGGGGTTCTAATTTTTCACTAAAGGGCACTTTGAGTTCCCACCCACCTCAGCCCCACCATGGCTTGAGTAAACTTTAAAGATATAACACCTCAGATGTCCGGAAATGGCAATAAAAATGCCAACTTTGTTGAAGTTAATTTCAACAAATTCCATGCAAATGATACTTTTCAATAATTTAAAAAGACACTTCTGGAAAAGGGGGAGGGGGTTTCTTTCGAACACCTCGAACCCCACTGGCTACGGGCTGGCTATTTTGATTGGTCAATGGTTCAGTTTGATTGACACACAGAAAGTTCTATTGTGTAAGTATAACTCTCTTACCCCGACGGTAACAATGAAGTCGAAGATATTCCATCCATTTCCCCAGAAGGTCCAGAAGCAGTCGATCCACTTCAGAATGATCTCCATCATGAACAGGATTAATGAACAGTAGTCAAATATCTCCAAAGCGAATCTCAGGCCATCAAGCTCAGGATTAGTGTTACCAGATACCTCTGGAGGAAGGGTAAAAATAACATAATATATAAAATCATTTATATAGCTATTTCATGAAGATCAGAGCGCCCAAAAGCGTGGACTACAGTAGCTCAAACAGTAACTTTCTTCTCCCCTAAGGATCTCTTAGTGTCTGAGCCATTAGTTACCAATTGTCTCGTATCGTGCGGACGGTCCCGCATTTCAAAGTGATTTTGAATGTAACACGCTTTTGCAGAAACACATGCGTGATCATAATTCATCACGCATTTAGTCTAGGCGTGATGACGAATAATCACGAATTCAGGGGGAAATGTATTTAAAATTAGAAGATTAGTTTTATTAAAAATATAAAACGGTCATGCAGTAACTTGAGTCATTAGAGAGCTTTCGTTATCTCGTTTGAGAACCAAATTCACCGAGAGCCTTGGAGGCGCGTGCAGTCTTGTGCGTTCACTGTCACAACCTACCGTTATGTGACTAAACAGTTGTCAGTTAGTATCAAACACACGCGCACGCAGTCAGATAAGTACAGTACGTAAATCACTGACGCGTTATTAAAAATTTATCAGTATGGTTTTGGTTCTGGTTATGGTGGGTAAAACCGACCTCCTAAGGACTCCAAAAGTGTAAGAGCATGGTTCTTAATAGGCGGCCCGTGGGCCAAATTTAGCCAATGGAGTTACGATACCTGACCCTGTGAAAAAATAAAATTAAAAACAAATAATATAATTAAATTAAATCATTTGATAGATAATTTTTCTATTATAAATGAAAACAAAAACGCAATCCCGTATTGAAAAAAAGAATACTGTACAGGCCTATATTAATTAGCAAAAGTCAAAAGAACAGAAGCTTGTTATTTTTAATGTATTTAATCTTTAATTTTCTAATGTTTTTGTTAATTAATTCTAAATAAGTATTTTACATTTTTTTTAAAATGTTTTTTTTTTTTTTTATTAGTTTCAAATTTATCCACAGAGAAATTTTTGTACTTTATGAGAAACGTTTTTTTTTTCTATTTACTTTTAAATTTGATTTTTATTTTAAGGGAAGATCACGCGTGTGAACATGGCTCCTATTGTATAGAAGATGAAAGTGTGCATGTTAGGTTTGTACGCAAAAAAAAGTTAATCTGCTATCAACAAACGCTAAAGATTATGTTAGTTCTAGCTATATCTGGGACAGTCTGGGAAACTGTTAATTTAGTAGACTCAAAATCGAGGTTGTTGAGGCTTTACTTTACATAAATTAGCACTACGGCGGTGTCTACTTGCCACCTGCTAATTTTCCACACGGAATTTTTCCACCTGGAGAATTATTTCCCCCAGCTATTTCCCCTCCCCCATTTTTTCAATGTAGTTTTCCCTTAGTTTTCCCATTGATTTTTTTTCATCAGGTTATGTTCATTTATGAGGGAGAACATATTATTGAGGCAAACATATTATTTTTTAATTTTGTGTTTTCTCTATATCAGTTACTTATTGCCTAGTCGTCGTATAGCTGGTTTTCCACTAGGCGAATTTATTCTCGCGAATCCAAAGCGTCGGCTTATGCACATGCGCATTCACATTCCTATCGGAGTTTTTGCGAAGCGAAAGAATGCGCAACAGAGCTCAGGAAGCGAGCCGACGCTTTGATTCGCGCGAATAAATTCGCCTAGTGGAAAACCAGCTTAAGGCTACACTAAAAAGGTGTGCCGATGATACAAAAGCGTTATTCAGTTCATTGCCTAATTGACTCTTGATGCATTCGCAATACAGTACTGATGAAGCCTAAATACACACTGTAGAAACGTTTTTAAAAGTTTAAATCCGGGTTTACGTAAGAAATAGAGGAAAGAAAACAGGATAACTTTAGAACATTTTGCATTTTTGGAATTTCGATATCACACCTATTTCGTAGTCGTTCTATATACCCATATTTTGTCTGCATCAACAAAACACTATTTCTGTACTTCTACAGTACTTTTGAGGTCAGTGCCCATTAGTGACTCTCTTCAACGATTATTACGCTTACATTTATTTCAAATTATCTATTACGATTGTTGGTAGCATAAAAGCCTATATCATTAAGTATATTCAGTGGCGTAGCTAGGGCAGTCAAGGGGGATGGGGGACGTGCCCCGGGCGCCAGGTTTGGAGGCGCTGAAATGGAAAAATGATAGTAAAAAGAATAGCACTTTTTAGAAAAAACACGACGAAATTGATGTATGTCGTTCAGGCATGAATATTTTCCAGTTAATAATAAGAATCTGAATGTAGTTGTTTTTATTGGTAAATTTAGAGATTGTGATTTCTTTTCAGTCCATTTCGACCGTTTTCTCTCTTTTAAAAAAATTCTATTATGTAATGACTACATGACTAAAGCTCATCCTGCCATATCTCAGTATTGAGCGTGATGAAGCAGACAACATTGCTAACTTTGATCATGTTATTAACTTATTTGCTGATGCAAAAGCACACAAAATTCAGTTGCGAGTTTAAACAAGGTTAAAAATTCAGCAACTTACAAGACTCCACTATAATATAAATTTAGAGAATAAGAATACTAAGCTGTATGCGATAAATACAACAGCCTTACAAATTAGGATAAATGTTAAAGTTTCGAACATGCAGTTTCAATAGTAAGAAGGACGGGTGGCGCCAGGCCCCCTTCGGGGATACTGCCCATCCCCGGCCGTTGAGAAAACTATAATTCGTTGGGGAGAAAAAAAAAAATATGTATTTTGTACATACTGTATTAGTAGACTCCGATTAAATGAGCCTCTGAAACCCATAAATTCTCAAAAATTTCGGGGGCTTCTTCCCCAAACCCCAGACCACTTCGGAAGATCACGCCCACTTTGTTCTCGTCAAGGAAATCTTCCCCCTCGTCGGGGCAGACCGCTCCCCCCCCCCCCCCCCCCTCGGGCAAATCCTGGCGCCACCCCTGGTAAGAAAGAACATATGAGATCTAGAATAATAATAGTTATTCGGGTATAAATAATGTTATTTAGACAGTGCATGATATGGACGTACAGTACGGATATGCTTAAAGTCTATATAACCAATATCAATTTATTTCAAAATATTATAATTATAATTAGGGGGAAAGGGGGCGCAATTTTCTACTCTTGCCCCCGGGCGTCAAAACCTCTAGCTACGCCACTGCCGATGTGATGCTATGAAGAACGCCACACGACGCGCGCAACGGATCGTTTTTAACAATTTTATGTACTTATTAAAACATTGATACAAACCAAAATTGTCAGTTATTTCGTTTGAAACAAGTGTCAGTATAATCTTAGGCAAGCAGGTGGTTAACATAAGCAAGAATTAGTCCAACGAAACTGTTTATCATTTTGATACCTTCCGACAAAAATTAACCCTACCGCCGTCACCACGGCGTCCCCACCGATCGATCTAACGTGACGTTGTTATGTGGGTGTTTTATAGATTATTGAGAATGGTAATATCACCGAGAAAATAGTTAAAATGACAATTGAATGACCAACAAAGACAACTGAAGACAATAGTTCGTCATTAGAAGTTATTAAGTATAACTTTATTAGAACAATTTAACTCAAAATTGAGTTGCCGTCCCCGGCGTCGTCAGTGACGTCGTATGATTTGTGTGCGATGTTTACCAATTAATCCCTATTAGTCAAAAATAGTTGAGCCATGCAATACCTTGCAAAACAACCCAGAAATCCGGTAGTTTGTTGAAGCTCAATGGCTCCTGTGTAATTCATGTTGAGCCAACTGCAGACGAAAAGGTTACAATCTTTCCAGAGATAAGAGATATTTAGATGTCGTAAGAAAACTGATGTAAACAAATCTCCCGGATGTGGATTCTCCCAAATTGGGACCCCTGTGCCGGTATTTAATATAGGGATTCTATTAGACACCAAAACTGAAAATTTTCATACTACTTTTAAAATGTGTAGTGGTTTTAGTTATTACAGACTACAGACATCAAACTAATATACACCAAAAACCGATGTTCTGTGTACATATTTAATGCCAATACTATAGTTTTAGTAGGACATTGTATTTCTAAAATTAAATAGAGCGCAAGACTTAAAGTAATCCATTCTAAAAAACTTGAAGAAAAATTCAACCATAATGTATAATATCATGGTTTTGGCATACCCAAATAAAAAATGTTTCCTTCATTCAATAAATATATTAAAATATTGGCCTATAGTGATGATTATGATTTGGGTAGAACGAGCGCAGGACTTGATATGTGACTACCGAGAAACATTAGTAACAGCATACAGTGACTGTACATCCATTCCAACAATCTTACATTTACTATATCATTCTTTATGATTTCCCTATAAATAGAGATATTGAAAAACTACTTTTAGAACCGGTCTTTAATTATCCTAGAGCGATTCTAATTAGAGACCAAAGCTGGTAAAGACCACTAAAACCCCGGTCCCGAAAGTGATTTTTATTTGGTATGGAGGGAGGCCTGTAATCTAATAGGATTAAGAAAAAGTGGTCGGGCCAAAGACGGTGCGACCGGCGCAGTTCCGACGGCCTGGTTAAAATATTGACTGATATAAGAATAAGTTCTACTACCGTACTCGCGCGAATAAGCGCCCCGTTTGAATAAGCGCCCTTCTCGAATAACCGCCCCTCCTAACGTGAAAATTTCCATAAGCGCCCCGTTCGAATAAGCGCCCCCTCATAAGATTTTCTTTTTAGCAAGTCAATAATCCAATCAATCCTGGGACTATGGTTGTTGGCATGATTTGAGCTATAGAGTGGAAACACATTCTTCTTTGGCAATATCAAAATGAGGATATTTCTCTTGGACAGATGAGAGCTCCGATCCTTGGACAGACAGTATATTTTCAACTTTACTCTTTTTACATATTTGTCTATGCCTAGTCCTACTCCTAATTTTTCCCCGACCTTGTACATTATCATCTGAGTTTTCAAGAAAAAATACAATGATCCTGCCATCCTGCTAATCTCAATCGGCCGATGGCCAACAAGCTAACCACTAGCATCTGCTATTTTGCTGTTATGTAAATATTCACGCATTCTTGTCATGAGCCATGTTCTCTGGACGATTATCTTTTCTGACCACCATTCGTAATGTCCTTATATAATCCTTTTTTCATTCACAAAGTGCATCTTGAATTTAATAATTTCCCATAAGAACCCCTCGATTTTCATCTATTTCCATAAGCGCCCCTCAATTCCCACTCTGTTTTCATAAGCACCCCGTTTAAATAAGCGCCCCGTTTGAATAAGCGCCCCTCAAAAGTCCAAAAATATTTTAAGCGCCCGGGCGCTTATTCGCGCGAGTACGGTACATTAAACCTCGATCCTAAACTACTGTAAGTGATGTCCTACTATAACACATTTGTCTGTGTACAAGAACAGAAATATATCAATATTTTTATATAAATCAAGGTTCTGGTTTGGGGGAACTTTATTTCGGCTCCCCCAGATTCATCTTCTTTAAAGTTCAAAATTTACATTTGTTTATTATATAGGTTTGGTATGTAGCACCGTAAACACATGTAAGGAAATAGATAGATATATAAGTGCTCGAATATATAGGCCCAACATTAAATAGAAATTAAATGGTCCATATTGAAACACTCCTCAATAAAAAAAAACCTCCGCCTATGGGCAATGTTTAGTAACAATGTACGCATAATAAAATTTACATACATGGGTGTAAGTTACTATCAATAAGTATACCTAACTAGCAAGCCACACGCTGATGATGAAAAATGGTTTCCGAAATAGGCCTGTCTGAATTTCCTGTATATTCTGTAATAATTTACCAATATGGGAGGAGGTTTAAAGTCTCAAATTTTCATCATTTTAAATCCACGTGTGTTGTTAGAACTATATATCTGTCGTTGAAACAAAAAACTATGAAAACAAGGCATGTAGACTATTGAACACTGTATATATTTTCGAAAGAAATGTTCGGTCAGTCCTCAGCCTTTATCACGGGGGTGGTGGCAGCGGGGAGGGGGAAGCGGGTCATCCCCTTTTTGTTGAAAACCGTTCCCCCATTCCCCCCCCCCCCCAAAAAAAAATTACCAAAAACATTATAACGATACTTAATTACCGGTACTAAGATAGTATCTTCGGCCCGTGAGTCTAACTCAAATCAAATACTAATAATAATAATTCCAATCCAGTTTTATATATGCTTTTAGAAAATACAAGACCAGACACATTATTGTTAAGACTCAAATAGAAATGGAAGAAGAGAGGTTAAGTTAATTAATTGCCGTACACAGAGACTAAATACTTCTTAATGTGGTATTTAAACTATTCAATGTGAATTTATTTTTTAGGTCATGAGAAACCTTAGCCCATAATTTCGGACCCCAAAAAAGAAATAAAAAACACCTGATACTAGTACTGTATAATTGTTGCTAGAAAATCCTCGGAGAGCCGGGAACGTTGGAGAGCCGGGAACTCTTTGCGTCGTACGACGACGATTCAAACTCCGCTCCCTGTGTGTGAGCGTTGACGACGCGACACCCTCGCTGATTGTCGGTGGCAGTCTGAACGGATCGTCATTAAAAACGATCCGTTGTGCACGCGTCGTAGCGTTGCTTTCTTCGTAGAATCGCGTCGGTCGATGACTGTGCCGTCGGGGGTATCGAGTGACCGGCTTTATGAACATGGCGGGATAGTTGGAAATAATTTGAAAACGACCAACAGAACTCACCTGACTGTACACCAAGCGCAATAGAATTCGTTAAGATGAGCAACAGCATGAAGTTCTGAAATAAAGAGCCTGTTTATAACGTCATGGATAATAAACTATAATACAAAGTGAAAAGGACGGCATAATTAAGAAGATGATGGCGATTAATGGTGTGTATGATGTCAGGATGTTTAAAGATGATGAATATTACAGGAAGTAGGTGGATGATAATAAGAATGATGATGATGATGATGATGATAATGATGATGATGATGATGATGGTGATTGATAGAGTTTTTTTGTGAAGCACATCAATAGTTAATAATTATAATAATAAGCCTAATAATAATAATAACAATAATAATAATTATTAGTAATCATTATCATATGGCCGCAGTTGAAACAATGATAGACAGCCTGGTCCACCATGTTTGATTGACAAAGGATACTCTCAAGAACGAAATGTGCCCACATATCCAAAGGTGGATTTTTTGCGTTTTTGTTTATTACACGATTTTTTCGTCTATCGCTCATTTTGATTTGAGATTTATCTTTACTTGAATATACTTGGAATTTTATCAATTCATTTGCGTTGTCCATCATCACTTTGTTCAGAAAATCTTTATCTGAAAAAAAATTGAAAATTTGATTTTGATACATTTTAGCTGAAAATAATAGGCATTTTAATTGGTGTATGTCATACATGTAAGCCTTAGCCTATACAATCTTACTTTTACTTCGATAATTAGCACGCGTCCATCTTATCAAAGTGGCCCAATTGCATTAACTTATTAAGATAAAAAAGAAATGTACCATATGACATGAGTGTAAATTTTAATTTTACCTGCAATGTCTTTAGAATAGTGTACTGGAGCATCCACTAGGCCTTGTTCGTCAAAACTCTCCAAGAGGTGAAAATCTTCGATAAGCTTAGAGCGAAAAAGCTCGGCCTTTGGTGAAATTTCTTGGTACAGGTGGGACATTCTTGCACTTTGTTCATCCGTCATCGTTGTGTAATTTGTCTGTATAAATATTAATATTAATAATTTTTGTATATAAAATAAAAAGTAGATTGATACTAGGCCCTATGCCTATTGACTGCGTCCGTTTTATTAACTAAAAGCCTAGACTAGGCAGGCCTGTCTTCCCTGGCTAATAGGCATCGCTAGTAAGTGTATTATAGATACAGATATGCTAGATACACTTATACCCCATTCAGACTAGCATCGCATTGCGATCGGTTGTAGCAATTGCGACACCCAATCGCAAAGTAAAATCGTGTGTGAAAGCTCACCAATAGTAGTCGATGTAATCGATATCGCAATTGTTACCCGTTGCGATTGGGTGCTACAATCTTTATTACTCCCGATTACCACGGAATCTGATCGCAACGAATCACAACGAATTCCACAGGTACTGTTTGGCTGAGGTCAGGCAACATAGGCCTAGACACTGGAGGCCTAGGCCCTAGAATGTAAAGTTTGCTTGTGTTGGTCTGAATGCGTTCGTTTATTGCGATCGGGAGTAATAATTTTTGGATTACCACCGATTACATCGCAACCGATCGCAAGAGAGTGTAGTCTGAATAGGGTATAACTGCAGTGGCGTATCAGCGAATCCTCGTGGTCATAGCAGTGGCGTACCCAAGGGGGCACAAAAAGCTTGCGCCCCCAGTCGCTCCCCCATTCGAAAACTTCGAAGCAAAAAAATTAGGCTAGGCTTATGCTTATGCTGTCACGGTTAACGTGTATTAGGGAATCTAGGAAGCAATATTTTTCAGTGGGCGTGGCCACCGAAAATAAATTCCACGCCCCCTCATATTTTGGTCGCCCCCTCCCCCCACCATTTTAATACTGCTAGGCCTAGATACGCCACTGTATAAAAGTATAACTGTAGTGCCATTCACATTGTAATTGAGTTTCCTAGACAGCTACAGTTGTGGTAATAACGATAATAGAAACAAAGTATAAACATTTAGGCCCTGAGGCCTGCTAGTATTTAGCCTATAGGCTAGCCCCATAGAGGCCTGGTTTGTCAGTGCCCATATCTTCTTTTAATATCAGGCCTAGGCCCTAGGCTAGGCCTAGGGCCTAGGCCTAGCCTAGACTAAAATTAAAAGTAGAAATATTCTTACTATTTTTCAAATTTCCTCCATTTCGTACATTATCATGATTTCTATACAAAGTACGGTACTGGACGTATGACAGGGCTCCTGGGATTTTGATAGTATTAAAAATTCTAGTCCAAAAATGGCATTCCAACCGCATTATAAACACCTATATTGTAAATCGTGTTTTAATTAGATCAATAATTACAACCATAATAAATTATTATAACAAAGCATCCCCGGAAAGTTTCAAAACAATTCTACAAACCATCCAACACACGAGACTTACTCGTACTTACGATAATCGACCGAAAAGAATGAGTACAGTTACAAATAATATATTTAATTATATCTTGCAGTTGTATTTCGTTATTTTAATAAGAAAACGTGTAAAAATCTAGCTGCTCAGTACATTATTCTATGCAATCGAAATTTGAACATTCGCGTTCCCATGCGCAACTTCTGAACACGCACTAATTGCGCGCAGCAAAAAAATGTGCTTTATTGTGAGCACGTCTTAGCACATAATATGTCTATGGGACAAACACCACACGCTTCGACGATTCTCATTTAAATTTCCTCCATTTCGTACATTATCATGATTTCTATACAAAGTACGGTACTGGACGTATGACAGGGCTCCTGGGATTTTGATAGTATTAAAAATTCTAGTCCAAAAATGGCATTCTAACCGCATTATAAACACCTATATTGTAAATCGTGTTTTAATTAGATCAATAATTACAACCATAATAAATTATTATAACAAAGCATCCCCGGACGCCCCCAGAGCTGCCCTGGTTTCGTGCTATTAATTTGTTATTTCTGTAATTGTGATTATGTGATGAGGTGCGCGAATAAATTTCAGGGGAAACCCCTTACCTGATTACGTCACACGAGCTTGAAATCGGAAGCGACGAAACACGCCAAGACTTCGAAGTCGTAGGCCTACTTCGTCAAGGTTTTCGGTGTCGTATAGGCCTACTATACGATTTGTTTTGGAACGAGTGAAGTGTAGAGATAATGCGGGAAGTATTGAATCGCCTGTACTAAGAGTAGGTATTTACAATTTCAGTAAATTTGACATTAATTCAACAAACCAATCCTTGGGCATTGTTTTATGATCAAGCTTAGGCCTAGGCCTAGATCCGGAACGCGTAGGCGGAAGGACAGAGATTCGAGAATGGAGAAGAGGCCAGAACGGGGGCTTAAGCCTCCATTGGACAGGTCAAGCCCCCACTTCCCGGGAAATTTATTCGATGCGGCTTTGTTCAAAATGAGGGTCTAACGGGGGTGTTTATTCAAAGTGGGGAATTTTTTCAAATAAATACGGTAATTTATTAATTGTCTAGCGAAAGAATTTCTGCCTCATCTTTCCTATAGGAGGTTACAGTGAATAAAATTAAAATCAAGTATATTTAATTGGTCTTCTAGCTTCAATACTCAAGAGACAACTTCCATTATGAATCAAGACTATTATGACTATGAGGACTACCCACCGTCGGCCAGGGTGAATCCAAATGATTGTATATTGGAGCTAAATTCTGTCATTATTAGCAGTCTAATTACTAAACTTGACTCTGCTGATCACACTAAAAACTGGAGGGCGCTCATCGATGCTTTGCCAGATACTCCATACACGTAAGTTTAATAAACCGTGAAGTAGTAGTAACATGCTGATATTTCAAATTTATGTTTTGTATACAACCACACCCTCTTGCATTGGAAATTTAGGTTCAAGATAGCTTTAATTGACTATTAAAAATAAAAGAAATTCATTTGAAACCGAACAGAAGTTAAAAGAGTGCACTTAACCCAAATCGCCACACAAATGTAAAAGATTATGAAAAGAATATATAAATATATATAAAACTGCATAAAAAAGACAAATTTAAAACACTAAAATATTCAAGAGAGTTCAAACTTTAAAAAGAGCTGATATATGAAGGCCTACATGAATGCTTAAAAAAATGTTGTTATATAGTAGGCAAAAGTAAATCATAAGCATGAATATGTGTATTTTAATATCTTTATCTAGACTCCTTGATGTTGAATGGTTTGCCAATAAGAGATTGGAGAAGAGAAGTCCATCTAAGGCACTGCTTGCTTCTCTGGGAAATCATGGCAGAACGGTGGAGCAGCTCATTTATTACCTCAAGAGGATTGAGAATGAACCAGCTTTACTGTTGCTCCAGACTCCATCTGGTATGTATCACCCAAAGAGGAAATGGTATCACCCAAAAAAGGATTTGCACAAAAAAAAATCGGATCAGTGTTTGATACCATTTTGTTGAAGTAGGACATTGTCCAGTTGTGGGTAAAGGAATTAAAAACAGATGGGGAATTTGGAAGGGAATTTTACAGATTGATAGTCCAGACCAACTAAGTCCCAACTTGGTCATATCTGAGGTCTGAAATTTTATGACTATGTCACCTCTAGATGGCTTGAAATGAGATTCTCTCAAACTTAATTTTGGAAGGTAATTTTCTTTTTCCCCCATTTGTAGCATTAACAAAATTTAGGGTGCTTGGGCCAGCTGAATTTCAATCTGCCCCAGCACACAACACAGCAATACACTCCAAGCTTAGAGAATGGATCTTAATCTTTTGGGACAAAACCTTATATATGCATGGCATGTACAATACGAGACTATAACTGTGGAAGGATGAGTTGAAAAAAAATTAGAAAATTTAGGTGGGTTTAATGAATTAATGGATGAATATATAAAAATACATGTCATGTGTAAGTTTCAAAACAATTTAGTCTATATATTAAAGAACCAATTAGGTTATTTTAAAAATACATTATTGATATTTATTGATATCTTTTAATTTTAGTAGATTTATGTGTCAAAACAATTTACTCATCATCATCATCCCATAGTCAAGTTGACCGTTGGGGCACTGTAGATGACCTAGCAACCAGTTCCATCCTTCTCGATCCTCCGTTTTCCGATCTTGATATGTGACCGTACCACTTTAATTTTCTTTTCATTACAATGGTCAACAGATCTTCGTATGGCCCAATCGCTTGTCTTGTTCTGTTCCTTACCTCTTCGTTTGTGATGCGGTCTTTATAGGAGATACCAAGGATCTTTCTGAAGCATCTCGTTTCCATGGCCTGAATTTTTTTCTCTAACTCAGCTGTCAGAGTCCACGACTCACATACATATAAGAAAATAGAGATGACAATTCTGCTGGAACATTGTCCACTCCTGCAGATTTCCCCCTCTTCAGTGATTTCACTGCTGTTTCCACTTCCTCCCGGAGAATGGGAAGTTTGTCGATGTTGTTTGCTGGTGGGACATTTAGTACTTCTGGGTTTCCTTTAATTAGGTAGTTATACAGTTCAGAGCAGTACTCTGTCCATCGCTTCATTATATCTTGGTTTTCTGTTAAGTTGTTCCCTGCTTTATCCTGAATGGTAGTCCTTGTTTCGTTCTCGTCAAGTCTTTCACTAATTGATACGCCTTCTTACTGTTGTTCCTTTTAAGGCTATATTCAATGTCTTGGCATTGTTTCTCAATCCAGTTTTCTTTTACCTCAATGGTGATGTTGTTCCTAGTTCGAATCCTGTTGCTTAATATCCTATTGTTCAATACACTATCGCTTAATACATCAGTCACATACTTTTCACCTCCGCCCTGATGTGTGACGGTAGGCGCGGACCTTAGTAACCCGGGTGACGTCTGATCCGGTATGAAATTTTGATTGGTTGCGTTCATCATGGTGAGTCTTGGGCAGTATGGCCTGGCGGTGCCCATCCCTCTCCAGGCCGTTAGCCACAACCGAAGTCCTCCGTTACTTGGAGGTTCGCTTTGGCCCTGGACACATGGCCGTTAAACTCCTAGGAGTTCGTCCGCCCTAGCCGGTGACCTCATTCGAAGTCCATTCGCCTTGTGATGCTGTGTCAACATCACCTCCTCACGTGGTTCAGTCCGCCAGCTGAAGCGGTTTGCCAGGGTGTGGCGCTTGGAGCCAGCATGTGAGAGTTTAGGAGATAGATGAGGACCAGTGGTGCCCGTCCACCCTATCAATTAGGGTGCAGCATGCCAAACTACCAAGGTATTACCCCTATCCAGAGCCCCTTACACCCAATTCACTACTGTTTGTAAAAACTGTACATCCATAGCTGTGATGATCAGTACTAAAAGGATTAAAATGACTTTATACCATTTCTGTATTATACAGAAACACATTTTCATCATTTTTGTCCTGTATTCTCTGTTGTAGAAGATATATGCATTATTCAGCAACCTGTTGGTGTTACAATTGATGAGGGAAGGGATTCAACAGCCTCGTTTTCTTGTCATGCAAGAGGCTTCCCATTCCCTCGCTACCAATGGTTCAAGGCTTGTCAGTCGGAGGCAATAACGGTTCCAAATGGAAACCACCGGGTGTTGAAAATTAATCCGGTTACCAAGCAAGATGCTGGATTTTATTCATGCAGAGTACACAATGACCGGGAAGGGAGAGTGGTCAGTTACTGTTTTACACATTGGGCCGAGTTGAAAGTTGAAATAGCACAAGGTATCACCAGTTATTTATTCATTCTTTTATTCAAACATTCATCTATTATTTATGATTCATTATTTTCTTTTTTTCAATTATTCCTCCAATAACATAGTCATTCAATCAGTTTCCTTTATTCTTTTATTTCAATCATTAACATACTTATGTTTTATTCATGGGCTGAGTTCAAAGTTGAAATACAGAGGACCTCTTCTAGTCAGCTTTGTGCTGCAAGAATTAACCTCTTTAAATATGGTATAATTAATAAATAAATTAATTAATATATTTTTTTTTTATAATTATTTCCATTTTATACATTCATTCATTCAATCCACCATTAAACTTAATTTATACATCCAAGTATCCATTTATTCTGTTATTATTATTTTTTAATTCATTCATTCATCCACATGAATCTTTTCTTTTTTGTTTATACATGTATCGATTATATGGTTTAATTATGTATATGCCTACATTTAATCAAAAAGCAGATAAAATTAATTTAAATGACGTTTCCCATAGTTCTAAATTAATTTTTTTAAACAAAAAATTGCTAATAAATATGAATCTAACAAATATAATTAAATGTTCGTTTTTATCAGAATTTATGATGTCAACATTAGAGGTAACAAAGCATCCGTTGTCTGTAACAGCAGACGTGGGGAATGAAATCGTTCTTGAATGTAGTGTCATATGCCAGTTCAAACCATGGTTTCAATGGTACATTATGAAATCAGATGGAGAGAATCTCGCTCCGGTTGCCATACCGGGCAAGACGAACCAAAAGCTTGTAGTAAGTAAAGCTAAAGAAATCTATGTAATTTGGATTTTTTTTAATATACTTTCGTTCCATTATTGATCTTTACATATGTTCTTTGGAGAGATATTAAACAGAAACTCATTACTGTATATAATACGGTATATTTAGAAAGGAGTAGGGTATTGTTTTGTATTGAACTTTAACCAATTTACTTCCTGTTCTACGTTTGTGTTTGTATTTCTTTGTAAATGTTTTGTTAAGGAAACAGGTTGTTACTTATACATTCACCACTGACAATCCTTGACCTAAATATACAAATTTATGAAATTATGAATAACGATGGATAATTTGGGGTTTTTTAATCAACAGTTCAAACAAGTGAATGTTAATGACAGTGGACATTACAAATGTAAGATTGAAAGTGGCAGAGAAAAGATATGGACATATTTTGCCAAGGTGGAAGTTGGTAAGTTTTTTAAAAATAGTATTTTTATTTTAAGTCTATTTCACTCATTGTATTCAGCTTCCAATTTCTTGCTAAAGTCCCATGTCTAATGAATTGTGACGTTATCACTTCATTGCTAGGAGTGACTCTTAAATTATCCTTCTTATTCTTATTCTGTTTATTGCCAAAACATCACACACACAACAAAAAAAATAGCTTCAAACTTGGTAAATTGGCAGGAAAATGTTAGGTATACATTATTTTACTTTTTTGCATACTGTATAATAATAATGTTTTGTATGTATCTATATTATTTAATTTGCTTTTTTATGATGTTCCGTAATGTGTACTTTATGTTAATTGTAAATAAGGTATCTCACAGACATAATGGAAAACAGCATTGCATTTGTTGATTTGTGCTTCGTGAATTAATACTAGTTTTACTACTACTACAAAGAGTCAGTGTGTTTCTGACTCACTTAGATTCACATTAAACTTAGCTATTTAAATATTGTAGAACTGTTTAATCGATAATAAACCAAGCACAATTTGATGTAAACATACTGCGAGCTTCTGTCTATGTTGTCAAGCAAACCAAATGAAACTATTCAAATATTTAAAAATTGATTAATATAAACTTAGAGCATATCAAAATGTTACATCAAAATCAACCACATTAAAAATGTTATAAAAAATATGTCCACAATCGTTCTCATAAATTTCCCTTAAAAATTGTTACGACAGCGATATTTAAGATAGTATAATACATACTGCAAGTATCGAAATGCACGCCATCGTGTCGGGATTCAATATTTTGACATTAATTATGTCATCATCAGGAATAAAAAATTACCAAAAGTGATTGACCAATCAAAACATTATCCCTAGTAGGTGACATAGCTATGAATAAACTAAAGATCAAAGCATTCTTACCCTACTGATCAAAGCTACCTACAAAAACAAAGAAAGCTCCTTTGAAGCTTTCAGCCCATTGTTAAGCAATGGGTGTAGCCTATGTATAGCAAACGCTTCTTTAAACAATAGTATAGACCAATTTTACAAACTGTCAATAGTGTTAGTATTAGGAAATATTAAACCTAATTTATTACTTGCATTACAGGCTACAGTATCATTTTCAAGTATACCTTGTAAACCTAAAACATATTGGAATGCCTCACAATTTTGTATTATATGATCATTTATAACACTATCAGATCATGAAGAATGTTCTTTAAGTCTAGTTATTAAGCACCTACAGCGATATTTAGGGTTTTCATTCATGTTATTATGCAAAAAAAAATGTTGATTTGCTTAAGCGAAAGTGAGATCAGCGACTGTTGGTCAGGATAGTTTTGTACACTAGGCCAATATCCAGGATATATGGCTAGTAGTATTCTAACTAGTATAATAGTAAGCACATTACTAAAATCCATGGTTGGTGTACCAAATTAGGCAATTTAAAATGTCCCTATTTATGCTTCATTCAAATATAATATCGGGTTTCGAGCTTTCGCAAGGAAAACTACTATTCTGGCCATAGAAATTTCTAAAAAAAAACTGTTTAGAGTAGGAATGGCCTTACATTTCTACCTTATTTTTGTTTTGAGAAGGTTTACTTGCAACATTATCATTAATGGTAGAAAATCAAATGTTATAATGTTTATGTTTGTTTTCTTTTTTTCCAGTTCCCAAAAGACAATACAACCCTGAATCAAGTAAGCTAATATTAATACTTTACAGCTGATAATAAATTATGTTTTAATATAACACTGAACAGTATGGCAGGGTGAAAGTAAACTAGATTTTTATATAATCAAATATGTAATATTTCTATGCATAAAGTTTCTTTTTTTTTTTTAAAATACTAGGGGCATAGGCTGGGGTTGCGAATATTGAGAATGTGGAACTCCGGGTACAAAAATTGAAATTTCAATTTCAATGAAAACTTCACGGTTATTTTTAGTATTTTAACTCAGTGGAACTAATTTGCTGCCATGGGGGAGGGGGTTCACCCCAGCCTATGCCCATAAATAGTTATTATAAATAGCAATTATTTTTAAGTCGGTGTACACTATACAAATGTATCTTCTCCTGTCCAAACAATGTATTAATTGAGTAATCTTAACTTGATAATTTCTTGATGAAATTAATCTTCATTTCACTTTCAGAGATACCGGTTATTGTTCGCCACCCAGTATCAATGGACCAGGTGATGGATAATGATACAGTTGTATTAGCTTGTGAAGCATATGGTGAGGGCCCACTTTTCTACCAATGGTACAAGAATGGTGAGATGATTCAAGGTTAGTGAGCAATTTACTAATCTAATATGTCAAATAAAAAAAATTACTGCTTTCTCGTCCCCTTGCGCATCCATTTTTTCTGCTTCACCAAATTTATAATTAAAAAAAAAAAAATTTCCATTAGTTTACAAAATGTGGCAAAGACAAGCCAAACCAGTCACACATCGCAAAAATCAATTTTTAGTTATTAATACAGGGTTAAACAGTAAAATGAGAGCTATAAAATGGTAAAAGAATCATTTAAATTTGACATTTTATTATGAAGTTACAAGCATTTAAACATAGAGCTGTTTAAAGAGAAATGGGCCTTCAAAGTTTATGATTTCAAGCATTTCTCAGGCAGAAACCATCACCAAATTTTTAAAAATTGTTGTTTTAACATCAAAAATGGGGAAAATAATAGCATATCATGATTTCTAGATATATAAAGTTTAGTTTAGCGCGATAAAATAGATTTCCAAAATTTTGACATTTTAGCATGTTTTGGCCATTATCTCTGAAACACGATTTGCGATGAGTGACTGCTTTGGCTTGTCTTTGTCACAAATGTACGAAAATCTGGCTAACTCACATCAGTAAAATTCCTCTCGATTGTTCGTACTTAGGGATACATATGGTATAAATCATGTCTAGTGCTTCTCTTATTTGCTTTCAATGTGTCTACTTGGTGAAAGTGAGAAAGTAGTAGCTGTTTCCCATCGGCCATCTTGGATTTGCCATCTTGGAATAAAAAAACAAAGTGCCCTCTTTCTCTTTTCTTCAAAGTATTAGGACGAGAAAATACTTTTTTTTTTACTTGACCTTAAGTTTCTGCGTGGAGGAAAAAATAGGAGAAACAACCCTTCGTACTTAACAGTTGCCGAACAAATAAAAACCTATTAACCTTGGTATCGCAAGTCATTACCAATTACCTGCAGGCAAGTATGCAGATGAACACATCCGAGGTCAAACATGTGTAGTTGGTCTGTTTATGCAGCGAACGCTATGGTCTCACTTCACTGGTTTCACATCACACTGGATTTCGCATTTTTGGATTTTCCCACCGCATAATTTGACTGTTGACTTTTCTCATCACTGATTGGTATTAACACTTGCAGTGCTTGTACGCCAGCCTACCAGCCAGCCATCTTACTAATACTATAAATTCATCGTCTTAATTTTGCGGCCACAACCAAAATCCAATTCACCATGCGACGCTAGGATCTCTTGTTCTTCGGTTTTGTGCTCACGCCATGAGATGTTTTGTACTCTTATTAGAAGCCTGGCGTATGTACCATTGAGGCGATCTTGAATCTCTTTCTTCATTGTCCAGGCAACCTGAAGTTGCTGACTTCTTTGGGTTTTGTGCCGTCGATGGAACATATGGCATGGTGGTTCACATCCTCATAGATGGTCATGTACTCCTTCATCTCTGCGTTGAGAAACAGACCAACTGTGGCTGCTGCGTTCTCAAGAGACGTTAGCAAGTTTTGGGCATCACTCAGTTGATAGTCTACAAGGGCGAAATCATCTGCGTAGTCTAGGTCAGTGAAGTGCATACTTTGTTGACACCTTGAACGCTTTTGCTTAATGGTAGGCCATTGTCGAGGATGGAATCAAGATTTTGTCTAAGGATGTAATCCACCACAATCATGAAGAGGAATGGTGCTAAGGTGTCTCCCTGAAGAATTCCTGCTGTAGTTATGAACTCATTTGTTGGACCGTCTATGCTTGTAAGAAGCTTGATAAATTCACATAATCCCTGTATGCTTATATAATTGAAAACTTTCATAATTTATGTACTGTAAGTACAAAAAACGCCTAATAAATACACCACCAACAATGAGTGCCTTGGCAGCCATGTTTCGTGAACTGTTTTATGTCTCATAAAAATTACAGCATTGCCTCAATGCTGAACCACAGTGTATCCATTCACAAAACAAAAGCGAAAAATGCAATCACATCAATCATGAAGAAAACACCAAAAGCCAGTTACATGGAAAGGATAATGTAAAGAAAAAGAGAAAACACAACCGTTAAATGAATGCACATATGGCTTGGGTGATTAGAAAATAATTATTTATGACCAAATAAAATGGTAGGAATGAATAACTTATCTTTACAACTGAGTTAATTTGACTTACAACTGAGTTAATTTGACTTGGGTTGGTTGTGGGTTTCTGTGTTCTCTTTACACTCTGAGGTGTAAATGGCTACCTTGTAGAATATGGATCTTCTTTTTATCATTATACAGTTCACTCTCAAATTTGAGATCACGTTTGTTTCCCCAGCTGCGACTTGGCCAGAATATCGCATTGAAGCAATGAAACCAGAGCATTATGGGGAATATTTCTGTGTCGTCAGGAATCGTTATCAAGATGTACAATCTAACATAGCGTCAGTCCACCTGCCAATCATACAAAACCCAATCTATGGTAAGTATCTACCAATTCATTTAAAACTATGTGTTTATTACTTTTTAGCCGTTAAATGCATATTAGGTACTTTTTACCCTATGAGCATTTTAAATTCCTTGCAATGTACAGCTGTTCCGTGGCAAAATGACGCAACTTGAAATTTTCACTTTTCGAAACATAGATTTAAAGATTACATGTTTGCAACTTAGTTGCAAACTAATAAATAATAAATCGTCGTACCCTTCTGAAATTTTGCAGGACTATTATAATTATTATGGACACTATCATTATATGTAAAATTTTAATTACAACTGAAGTTAATTGTAAAGTTATTGATGACATTCACATGTCGGGCACAGTATTGTAGCAAGTGTTACATATTTTTTAAATGTATTACTTTTGGGGCAATTATATGCATTATCTAGCTTGTGCATACATCGTTGTTAAAGGTTATGAATACATCATCGACCAGTTAATTTTGCCTTGCCAAACTCCATCTGCTCAAAACAATTTGGAATACCATTTCGAGGCAAAACAAAATATCTTCATTGTAGATACATTGTTTTGCCACGTAATCTTGCATTTACGTTATTTTAACAAGAAAAATCACTATTAAGTTTTGTGCTTAAAGATAGGTGGTGCTAAGTGTTTAATATTCTTCCAAATAATATGATCTTAAAATTTAAAAAAATGTTAGTTACATTGTTTTGCCTCGGGACGGTCGTGTAGGTCTAACTTGTCCTATAAGCATTGTCGATTCCTTAAATTTGATTTGAATTTATTCGGAAAATCATTGTAAACAAATACATCAAAACATTGGTAAAGAAAAGAAAATAATAGGCTAAATAAAAACAAATGAATATCAAATTAGAAAGCATATTGGGGATTTTCCATCGGGGTCCAATATAAATTCGATCTATACTATACCACCTTATGTAGACTATAAATGCTATTTTAATCTTCAAGTTACTGAAGGTGATAAAGCTTAAACTAATAACATCTTAATTAATTGAAAGACATTTTTATATACAATAGTGTTTTTACATTATACCGGAACAGAACTCTATAATTAAAGTACTGAAGGTGATGTTTATCGTTTAATCTGATGTAAACTTTATTTCTTGAAAGTAATTCTTTAACCTTTAATTTAAACCTGTTTTCAATGTTCTGAATAGTTTTAGGTAGCTTATTCCATTCATTAATTGCAGTAAAATAGAATGCCTTAGATATAGGCATTTTGGTCTTTTGGCCCTATGGTATCTTGGACATACATTTGATGCAATTTTGTGATCACAAGTTGTTGGCCCAGCTTATACCTAAATCAGCATAAAATTTTTTAAATTTTTAGGTTATATTTTCTCATGACTTAATATATGAAGTTCTTACTTTGATCTTTTGTCTTATTTTGGGATTTCAGCCACCGATAAGGTAGCTTTGTTGATAGGCAATCAATCGTATCGTAATTTACACAAGCTCCTAACACCACAAAAAGAGGTAGAAAATCTGGGCATTTCTTTGCTTCAAGTCTGCGGTTTTAAATTGATTACTTTGATTGATCTGACCAAAAAGGAAATTGAATTTGCCGTCTCAATGTTCTGTAATCTACTTGCTGAGGGCATGTATGGTGAGTACATTTTTTCATTGGTTGTGTATCATTTGCTATAATATGGCACTTTAAAATGCGATATGCTTGTAAAATGTAATAAATAGAGAGAAAATAAAAAGAATTATGAAATGATGATTAACTGTGTAGATATATAGATGAATATAGATGTTATAACTGTTAATGAAGAGCAATCTGTATTCAAATATGAATACATAAATGAATAGATAATAAATGAATAAATATGTAAATGAGTAGATAAATAAATAAATAATTATAGATATAAATTAAAGAATGGACAAACATACAGATATATTTATAGATAAAAATTATAAAATAGATTAGTAAATGAGTATATACTGTATATATATATATATATATATATATATATATATACTGTCTCTTATACACATCTAGATGTGTATAAGAGACAGCTAATAATGAAATTGTTCCTGTAATAGGGGTTTTTCGTATGTTTTCATACATTGATGACATGACATGACAATTTTATTTTATTGACGTAAGATTAAGTTACATTATAATTAAAACTAATTTATAGCGATATCTTGCAATGCATAATTCATTTATAATATGAAATCAGCAGTAATGTAATTAAAACTACAATACAATAGTAGTATTATTATAAATTATTTCATGATGCAATGTTAATGACTAAATTTTTTTTTTAATATTGAGCTTTCTATAGGATGCATGTAGCATGGATGAGTAATGACTCAAAAATAAGGGTGTATGTTATGACATAGATTAGAATCCTATATGAAGGTACAAAAAAAAATCCCTATGGTTAGTGGTCAAATTTGCCAAGATTGGTTTATACGAAATAACACTCATGCAGTAACCCTATACCAATATTCACATTAAGGATTCAATGGAGAAAATTCTGGTTTGATGTGAAGTTTATTACTCAAAAGGTGTCAAAATATAAAGTTGGACACACCTAGAAAGTGTCCCTGTCCCATTAATAGGCATGTCCCCTTAATAGTGGTTGGCTGTCGTGTTAAAAGACATAAGAGTTTCACTGTGTCCACTAAATAGAGGTGTCCAAAAGTAGGGGTTCTACTGTATTAAATTGGCTGTAAATTTTGTATCTTCGAAAAAACATTTCTATGATACCTGGAGGTCTTGGGTCATGGGAAGCTATTGCAAAAAAATCTGGGTCCTAAGGATAAAAGGTTGCCAACTGTTGGCAGAAGGTACAGTGATGACGCCACGATTGCCTTATAATAATAAATTTTATAAATAACTTTGAATTATTAGTGAATGGATTCATAAATATTTAAATATAAATATATAAACCTAATAAATAAGTAATACATATAAGAAGCCGAAAGCTTCTCCACTCAAGTTATAGCTATATGAATTTACTAACACATGTACGGCAGGAATAATTATGCGCTTGTGTGTTATGTACAGGTGTGTTCTTCTTTAGCGGCCATGGTTTTGAGAATGACGGTCACAGCTTCCTAATCCCTGTAGACTGCTCGTCAGGGCATAAGATAAAGGATTGTGTTGATACCCAATGGATACTGGATCAGATGCAGGTGCATAAAACTGCTCTGAATTTGATTTTGTTGGACATTTGTCGTATCAGGTAAAAAATATCTAATACATTGTTGATTTATTATTTGTTTGTTACTATTTATGTGTTATGCTTTTTTTTCTTTTTTATTTTCAATCAGCATCACAAAAAATAAGTTAACGATAACTTGTGGGGATTTTATGGGAATCAGGCTTTAAACAGATAATTTTTTTTTTTTCACTAGGAATGACTACCAGGACCAAAAAGTAGACGATAAGTTGCATCCAGACGTCCGGGGTAACACCGTATTTGGATATGCTGCGTAAGTTGTCAGACAAGCAGTGTGATGAAGCTGCTCTCTCAACAGCTGTTGTCATAGTATACAAATATTGACTGCTCATGAGGGGAATGGTGAAATCTATTGCCCGAGGTGATGTGGAGACAGTAGCCTATCTTCCCAAGGGCCAAAGTACGGTAGGGCAAAAGAGTACTATCCCATAGGGTAATAGTACTTTCTATTGCCTGCTTCTTAAATCAGATGCCTCGAATCTACTGTATGTATGCAGTATATAATACAGAGTATATCAACTTGAGTCCACAATTGCAATGGCATATCCAGGGATATAAAAAATGAAGGGGAACACAATGGGAAAGTTAGGGGAAGAAGGTGATTTTAACTACTTCAGAGTACTTTCCAAAAACAGGTTGGGGGGGGGGACAACCTTTTTCTG